GGCTTTATTTTATTTCATTTTAAATTTATTATATTACACAAAAATTTGTAACAATTATACTATATATATAAAGCTTTCAGGTATGGCATTTTAGCCATCTGTGGAAAAAATGATAATTATTATTTTTATTTAATATTTTTTATTATTATTTAATATTCATCGTGATTATTTAATATTCATTATTATTATTTAATATTTATTATTATTATTTAATATAAATAGATAAATAGTATACAAATAGATCATTAATAGATTTATTGTTTTACGTTATTTATATTAATGTAAAACATTTTGTTTACTTGTAAATTATTTATTTTTATACCATTAGTTAAATTATTTAATTATATTTATATATTATTCATACATCACATTTTTTTCTACTTTTATATATTATTTATTGTTTTATATAAATATATTATATTATTAAAATCACTTTTATTTATAAAAAATAAATTAAATTTTGTATTGAAATTTTTCTATTTGAAAAATTCTGTATGTAATTATTATTTATAAACTCATGTAGTTCTATTTAACACAATAAATATAATATATGATATATTCTGCTCACATTATTCTGCAAAATTTTTAAGATTTTAAATTATTTAGAAGGTTATTGAGTTCTACACAATAATATAAATTAAAATTTAGTTGTATATATTTTGATACAATATATTAATTAAAGTTGGTTAACATACAAATTAATGTACATATATATTCACGTACTCAGTACTCGCGTTACTTTGAAGTACAAATTTTACAACTACGTATTTTTATTTATTTTTGTATATAAACATTTAGATTATTTTTTATAGGTTGTCTTAAATTTTAATAGTGCACAAAAACAATTTATTAATTTTTTTTTTTTATAAACAAATTCTTCTTTTATGCACTCAAAAATTCACGTTCAATCTTCAAAAATGCGATCGCAAACTGATGCTCAGACGCTAAAAATTAAACAAAACCACGAACCCCCGCGAGCGATTCGGGAAGCTAAGAAAAATAAAAGAAGCTGAGAAAAATTCTATAATAAAAGAAAGAAAATTCAATTTAAACGACGTGATAAAATGAATACAAAAAGAATTCGAAATAAATAAACAAATCTTTATGAGTAAATCTGAGTCTGTTCAGAAATCAGAAATGGATTGCTAATGTTTTATTTTGAGAATGTTTATAATAAAAAAAATTGAAGCATCAAAGCAAGGTTGGGGAGGTACTATAAAAATGAGACCGAGTAATAAAAAAATGAAATATTTGCAGAGACAAATAAACAAATTAAAATATATATGCGAACAAATTCTATTTGAACCAAATAAGTAGCTTAGAGAGTACATCGATCGAACATGTGAGGACTGCTTAAGCCAGTTACACTCACAAACAGTCAAATATTGACTTGATTGTGTAATGAATGAACATATATGCTTTTAATTACATATACAATTATGGCATGAGACATCGAATTTGGAGCAAAATAAGGTCGATTGATTATAAATTTGAGGTATTGATGCTTGAGTTGAGAAATCGCTCTTTGATGAAACGAATCAAAACATATGTAATTTTGATTTATTACTCAAACTATACCGTCTGATACTCGCTATTTTAATGCTTAATTGGTTCTGCTTTTTATTTGTCATTACATATGAGTATTTGTTTATTTTTTATTTGTTTATAATTATGTTTGTATTTTAAAGGCAGTTACAAAAAACAATTTATAAATGACTATATATTGCATTGTTTACATATATAAAAAAAGAGCAGAAGTGTTTAATATATATTTATTTATATGGTTAAATAGCGGCGATTACACATCAAGAACGGATATACAAATGACAAAAATGTTAGTACTATGACCGAACGATCACTGCTTTTTTTTTGCGCGGTACAGACAGAATATAATGAAATTTATCAGGGTATGCCATTTAACATATACATATACTACACAAGGGTAGCACAACAATTTAAATAAATATTTTCCTTTTCTCTTCTCTGTTCAGTTCTGTGTAATTTCCTTCCTTCCACTTGTAGATAGATATGTGGGCTCATTTATGGGCAGTTCGCATTAAATTCATCGAATATACAAACATCTGGCGGTAGCGTGCGTTTATGAAATATCGTAAAAGTTCAAAAGAATTGACGAAAAAAATTAATTCACATCAAGCAATTATAGTCGACAGCTTCTTTTTTATTAATTAAAAAATTTATGAGAATTTTGAAAACTAAAATACATATATTATATATGAATTAGTGTTATGGCGTAAATAGAATTATTCCATTATTTATGATTAATATTAAAAAATAAAATATATTAGAAATATAAATACATAAGCATAATAGTATTTATTGCTTATTTGACCAATAGATTTGTTTCAAAATACAAATGTATAAAACAAAAATATAAAGAATACTTCAGTTGAACAATATTTCGTAATTATAGTAAATAAACATTACTAACTCTTAAACAAATACAATCACTAACTCTTAAATAGACATAAAAAGCTCAACAAATAAATGGTATATATTTAAAATATTTAGTTTAAATAAATAATAATGAAATAATAAATTCAATAGATGCAATTGTTATAAATAAAGCAGTTTAAATAAATACTAATTTGTTAAATAAACCATATAATCAAATATTGTTCATATATTTTAATTTAAAAAAAAAAAATAATATATTCTAATTTTTATCGTATGTTTTTATTTAAAATTTATACCTATTTAATATTTTATATTTAAACTATTTGTATTTAAATTCATTATTGTTATTTAAACTATTTATTAATATTTGAATAATTTATATATTGCATATAAAATTTTTATAAAATTTATATAATTTATTTTATAATTCATTGCACTAATTGCATTTAAATTGATTTTATTTTATGATTATTTCTATTAACTTATTCATTTAATTTACTTTTTAAACTTTTTTAATATTATTTTTTAAAAATCATTATTTTATCATGTTTTTTTAATAAACATATTTAGTAATATTTTTTAATATGTATATTTTTTATTTTAATAACATAATTGATATATCGGTGCAAATAAAATATATTTTTTAGAACTAATTTAAAAAGTTATGTATTTTTTTGCATTGCCGAATAACCGCATTCACAAATATATAAAATTATTTTATGAAAATCTTTATTATAAAATATAATTCATATTATTTTGTTTCTAGCAATTAGTGATTTTTAAAATTATTTTTTAAATTTTTATTTCAAAGTGTTTCTAAGTGTTTGTTTATTCACTTATTTATTTCATTGAAATTATTTAGTTTTATTAACATACATTTTTTTTAACTATTTTATTAACTCTACTTATTTCAACTATTTTATAAAAACTACTTAGTCTATTTTAACAACTTTATTTAAAATATCGTTTCATAAATTAGTATAGCAAATCCTACATCTTTAATCTTTAAATAATTTACAAATATTTAATTTATCCACATTTTTATAGTTTTTAGTATCGTTTAAATTTTTCATTTTATATTAATCGGAATTGCGGGGCACGAGTTCGATTCCTGGTACTTGCAATTTCAAAAAATTATTTATGAATAATTAAATACAAAAATTATTTCCAAGAACACTGAAAATGGATATTTGGCTATACTCGAAACAGCTGTATGGTCAGCGAATAATTCAATTAATTAAAATATTATAAAAAAAGAATTTTTGTTATTGTAGTTCAATAGTTTTCGATAAATTTCTTTATTTTTTATTATTTAAAATAACTTTTTTATTATTAAGGTTTTTTTTATATTTCTTGTTATTGTAAGTTTTTAATTTGTTATTAAACATTTTTTTAATTTTTTATTTTTTTAAAAAAGTTTTTTATTATTAATAATTTTTTGAATTTTTTATTATTATTTTTTTTATTTATTTTATTAATATTTTATTAATATATTTTTTGTTATTTTATTATTAATTATTATTATTATATTACTGTTAATCATTATTATTATTAATTATTATTATTATTTAAATTTATTATTAATCATTATTTTATTAATTTTCTGAACATTTCAAAAACAAACTTAATTTTAGTTACAGATCAAAATGCTAAATTAATTATAAAGGAATATAAATTAATTTAATAGGGTACATCATTATTTTTTCACTTCAAATAGTAAACAAATGGACGATATTTTATTAAAATAAAATTATTGTTAATTACTATTATTATTTAAATTTATTATTAATCATTATCTTATTAGTTTTCTAAACATTTCAGAAATAAATTTTATTTTAGTAATAGATTAAAATGCTAAATTAATTATATTAAATAGGGTACTTCGTTATTCTTTCACTGCAAATAGTAAATTATCGTTCTTTTGCTTAAATAAATGCAAATTTTTTATGTTATTTTAGTTTCGTAATAATTAAGTTGTAGAACAAAGATAAGATTTTGTGATTAAATTTAATTTAATTATAGGTCCCTTAAGAAATTTGCTTAAAGTCCGCTCAATACAATAAACAATATGATTCTTCATACAATGGAAGGGTAGGGCCAAGTGCATATGCAATGTACCGGTAAATATAAATCCTTTGGAAATATGTATTGTATTATTATTTAACAAATTCTTATTTAACTTTAACAACAAAAACTAAAACTTAAAAAATATTTTGCTGTAACAAACAGGAAGCAGTTTTATGTAAATTTAAAATTTTGAATTTTTATGCAATAAATAAATTTTTATAGACTTGTATAATATTATTAATAACCAAGTAAGTAACCAATCCATTTTGCACACAAATTTCACGAATTAACATTTTTCAAATTACATGAATAATTATTTAAAATTTTTAATTCTTTTAATTTTCTTTTCCATTATTTCTTTTGCAATTTTCATTGTAATTTTCCATAATTTTTCACCATTATTCTTTCCACATAATTTTTTATGTAAGAAGAAAGCACATATAATTTTTTTGTTTCGTGTTTTTTTGTATTTTCCAATATTTTATTCTTATTCTTATTTTCTTGAGAATTACACTAACCGTTGCAGCGCAGCAATTGTTGGACTTATCAATTATTCTTTGTATTCATTTTTTATAATTTCCACTATTATTATTGTTGTTGTTGTTATTTTAAATAATGCTAAAATAAACGCCGATAGCAAAATAAGTGTTACCAACGTATTTGCATTTGCATTTGTTTTGTTGTGTTATTGTATTGCCAAAACAATAAGCCGCCGAATACTGGTAAACTTGTATGGCGAACATGTTTTGTGTGTAGCGGCTGTAGCGGCGCACACCAATGCAAACATGCAATACAAAATGCAAGTTTACAAACACAAAACAAAATAAAAAACAAAACACTGAATTGGCTACGTTCCGAAATGAAAAATTTAGCTAACAACGTCGACGAGTCCGAATGCTATCGCGGCAAGAGTCAAAACCAATCTAAACTAAAGAAAACACAAAACAACGTCAAGCTACGCTAGGCCCAGCGCTACACTACACTACACTACAAAATAACCAATGCCGACACTGGAAACGAAAAAAAAGTATAATAAAAGAGTAATCAAAAAAAAAAAAAAAAAGTGAATTGCACGCGAGCAAATCACTACGAAAAAAAAGTACATATTGTAAAAACGTAGGAAAATGTAAGAAACGTAGCAGCTAGCAGTTTGCTTAGAGCGTTTAGCATAAAGACATAAAACTTAAAAGAAAACAAAAAAAAAAAAATAAGTGTAGTAAAGTATAAAGAAAAACTAGAGAAGGCGGTACAACCGGTATTTTGCAACTTAGTGAGCAAAAGTAGCATTGCTTGTTGTGTATAAAAAGTGCAATTAAAAATGCTTCTGTTTGATTACAAACTCTGCGGTTGAGAAAGCCGGAAAATTATTGTTTAAAAAGCGAAAACGAACTGCGGAAAAAAGTCATCGATTCTCGATGATACTTCAAGGGAAAAAAAATATAAATAATGTCATATTTTGAATTTTTGCAATTAGTCAAGATTTATTTGCATTACTCTCTGTTACATCAAATATCCACTCCAATTATATAAGGTAACATAAGAAAAATAAAATGATGATAAAATTAACATCACAATTGATTAATACTTAATTTTTTTATTGCGCAATTAAGAACTTTTCATCGGAAATTATCAACAGAACAAATTCTAATCTTCATTAAGCAAGCAAAATACTAACTATTTGGTTAAGCCTTGTCATTTTGTACAAAAGATCTCTTATGGTTCTGTGAAGGGTAACACAACTGCTCATTATAACAATATCAAGTTTGAGGCTTCCAGCAGTGTCAGTTAAAAAAAAGCAGAGTACACTTCTTAAACTACATATCTGACATAATCTGACTTCTCAAACAACATGCTTGACATAACCAGATTTCTCAAACTACATGTTTGACATAACCAGACTTCTCAAACAACATGTTTGACACAACCGAACTTCTTAAATTACATGTTTGACATAACCACTCTTCTTAAACTACATGTTTGACATAATCTGATTTCTCAAACTACATGTTTGATATAACCAGAGTTCCCAAACTACATGTTTAACAAAAACTGCCTATGATCAGAAATAAACTAAACAGTTGATTAGCCTTGCTCGCCACTTAAAGTTCGACGTAATCATCGTACTGACAGGACAATATGCGAAAAGTAGACCAAGCGATTGCTTAGAGACTCATTTTAGCAACTATCGTAGCTGTCGAAAATAAAAGACGAAAGTGTTACTTATCTGTTGAGCAATTACCAGAAAGCTACAGCAACCTATAGGTGTTTTGTTTTTATGTTTATACTATATTATAGGCATAGTTTGAAGACAATATGCTATACAATAAGCTACTTTATTAAATATATGGATGAAACATTTTGTTATAACCCAATATAGCACAATCTGGAGCACATGTCCTAAATAAGAAAGTGCATTTCTTAAATTAGCAAGAGAGACAAATCTTTTTCGCTAACCAGGATAATCAGTGAGACTGAACAAAACTGATAAGAGAAGTGGACAATAGAACATCCTTAACAAATAGTGAACTCGTGAACTCATACAAAAAGTGCATAGGCACAAAAAAAAGCTACATATTAGCATTAATACTACCAATCGTGTCTTTAAGTGGCTTAGTGCATCACTCGGAGCTCTATGTGTTGTTCTCGATGCCAATGAATTCAAACTAACCAGTCCCAACCAGATAATCAGATAAGACTGAACAAGAATGATAAGAGAAGTGGACAATAGAATACCCTTAACAAATAGTGAACTTATACCAAAAGTGGATAGGCAACCCAAAAAAAAAGCTACATATTAGCATTACTACTACCAATCATGTCTTTAAGTGGCTTAGTTCATCACTCGGAGCTCTATGTGTTATTCTCGATGCCAATGAATTCAAACTAACCAGACCCAACCTTTTTTTCTTAAGAATGCCACAATCTGCAAAAGAATTGATTTTTAAAATAAGAATGAATTACTTTGTATAAATATACTCCTTTTGATAAATATATGCACAAACGTTTGTTTATGTTTTTGAGATTATAAATATGTATATCTATACATACATGTCATTGCATAATTCCTTCTTGTGTTCATTTCCCCTAAAGAAACTTAGTAAAACATTCCGTTACTTTAATATCTTACTCATCAATTTTATTTTAGTCGTAAGTGTATTCGTAATTTATTTTAATTTCTCATATGACCAATACAACGCAAAGACTAAAGTGGATAATTGGTCAAATTGTGCCTTCAAAACTACACCCACAATTATTCATCAAATGAATTTTATATTATGTTTATTTAGAAGGGAAGATTGCAAGACAAAACATAAGAATAAATGTTTAAGAGTGGAAGAGTTTTTAATGGTTTTAATTGTCCAAAATAGAGTAGGAAGATTAAACTCAAAAAAAGTAAACTCTTTTTGAAAAATAAATAAAATTAGACAGTGTATAACATACTCGTAATTCTAGCAGAAAGCAGATATCAGATCTGTACACGTACTTTGCAAAGAGAAAAGTGGTTAAATTAAAAATGATGACAAAATCATAGTTTCCCATGACAAGAAAAATCAAATTGCTTACAATAATTTTCAAGTAAAATAGTAGAGTCGTTTGACGGACTGGTATACTATGCATAAAAAAATACACTACAATTACTTTTTGTTTCAAAATTACTCAAACAAATCTGAGAGCAAAGTAAATAACATTTTCATCTTGCGACCTATAAATACGCAATTAAGGATCATACCTCGACTGAGGTTCTCGGTAAACTGTCGGGTTATTAAATTCATAGAGATGCATTTACATTATTATTATATATATAATATATTTACACGCTTTAGCTATTTATTTATATTTGCATTTGGATGCAAATTAGAACAAATGAAAAGAATTCAAGATAAAAGTAAATCTGAAATCGTTTTTGGTTTAAATTTTGGTTTTGGTAGATACCCAAAAAAAAAGAAATGGTAACCCAATTTTGATGTAGATTCTGCGACAGTCTTTTTCGTGTTGCTTTGGCAATTAATATCCAATTTATATAAATTTTAAATTTTAAAATGTTTGCAAGTTTCTATAATTTTTTCCCAGTTAGTTTTTTTTAATTGAATCAACATAATTAGTAGTTTTGGACAAAAATGAAACCAAAAAATAATACATTCAAAAAAATGTTTGGACTTAGAATTCACTTAAGAGATATGGTTTCTTGTTGAAAGTCTACAGAATGGAGTTTTTCAATATGCTTTAAATTAAAATTTGACTTATCTTTATATTCAATATATTCCATCAGCCAGTCAGTGACTTATGCAAATTTCGAGATCGAGATCTCATTAGAGTACTCATACTATATTCGCACAATAAAGAATCCAAAATATTATTTATTCTTTCAGTAACTAGTTTAAACGGCATGTAAACTGAACATAACTTTGTGAACTGATTGACTGTAAAATTACATACTACCTTTTTCTAGATATATAAGTTCACAACAAAAAACACGCAGCTCTTAGGTTAACGAATATTTCCGATTAAAAAATCGAGGTATTATTTCTATAATTTTATTCATTTGAAATAATTTAAACACGTAAGGTTGTTATAAAAGGCTGTTTGGGAATATATTTTATTTTTTTTTTTATTTTATTTTACTTCATATAGTTATTTCCCATACAAATTTGATAACATTTCGAAGTATATTTCCTTTCTTCCTCAAAGGAGAGTACTTAATTATTTCTACTCTATTGGATTTTTCTTAATTTGTATATTATTATTGTATTATTAATATTATTATAACTACTTCATTCTGTTAACGGGAGTTTTTACCAAGTCAACGATTAGCGCAAAACTCGCACTAACCAAAGAAAGAGGTTTCTGAGGGTGTATGTAGACACTCTCTCTCTCTCTCTCTCTCTCTCTTTTTGTTTCCCAGTCCCGAAAAAAGATTATATTATTATTGTTTTAATTATTATTATATATTATATTTATTATTATTATATTATTTATTATATTATATTATTATTATTATTATTATAATTATTATATTTATTATTATTATTATAATTATTATATTTATTATTATTATTATAATTACTATTATTTTTACAATTATTATTTTACTTCATTGTTTTTTACGTCACTAAAGTACTATTTAAAGCATTTCATTCTTATTCATTCCCATTTTTTCTTTCATTCTCTTATTCTATCATTATTATAACGTTTTTATTAATTTTAAAAATTAAGCTTGAAAAAACTAAGTAAATTATATAGAATCTTTGCTTAGTTTTGCTTCACAGTTTTTTTTTTTAAAATTTAGTATTAAAAGTAATAATTAATTATATATGTAGAAACATATAATAATTAATTGATAGCTTCAAAATTAATTTAAAAAAAAATATGTTTGTTAATATAGATAATATTTGCTAATTGATCATTAAGTATTAGAAATTTTTCTTCATTATAACATATAGCAAAATTGCTGAGATGTCTTATTACCAATCGATACTATCAAGTTGTAGCGAAGAGTTTCGTTAAGATATGTCATCGAAGTCAATTAATACTTTTTTTTTATTTCAAACTTATTACTATGAAGTAATTTGATCAAAGTGAGAAATTAATAATTTTTATGAATGAATGAATAAAAAAAAATTGTTAGTATCAATACGAATAACGTTTAGTAATAATAGATACTTTTCTAAACCAGTTTTTCATTACTTCTACAGTGAGTGAGTGCACTGCTTTTATTTAGTAGCCAAGGCAACAAACCAAAGTTTTCTTTTTTAATAAATTTTTTATTGAAAATTAAAAAAGGAAATGTGAAAAATATATCAAAAGAAATATTGCAAATCTCACAGGCTTTTTTCCAGCAGATTTTCACAATATTTATGCAAATTTAAAAATAAAAAAAATATTTCCACTTTTTACAAAATATTTAAAATGCATATTGTG